ATGGACAATGTATATAAATAATATACTCACAGCCAGTAAATGTTATTGTTCACAAAGTCACCGCCTCTTGGTAATGATGTCAGGTGATTATTTGATAAATCCAATCTGTACATCGATGTTATATGATCAAAAGTGCCGGGTTCAATATACGCAATTTCATTACGGCTTAAATCGAGAATGTCCGTTAGAGGGCAGTCCTCGAAAGATGTGCCTAAAATACGACCAAGTTGATTTCCGTCAATGTAGCTGCCAAAAAAAACAAACAAAAAAACAACAACATCAAAACCATGTATTACACAGAAAGAGTGAAATGTTCAAATAACATTATTTTACATATAAATAACAGGTGTACGACGAATATATAAACTACTGAAACGAGATTTGAACTAACGGCACCACAGTAAACACGTGCACATCACTATACCACTTTAACCGTCCCAGAAATGAAGTATCCAAATATAATGTGATTTATTGTAAAATAAAAAAAAAATGTTTCAACATGAGAAATACTAAAAACCCATTATTTACGTGCAAGGAATTAGGTTCCCGTGGTATTTCTTTATTGAATAAAACTGCAACAAATACACAATTTTTCCTGTACGATAAACCACATATTGTTGTGTGTTTTTTAGCAAGTATCACTATCAAATAATTTTAAAATTTTAAAAAAACCTTCAAAATCATCCACTGTGTAATTGTAATTGGTTCAACACAGCTTTGATGGATTGAGGAGATAGACTGGAATGACCATGTTACCATATGACTTGACGACAATGTCTACTGCAATGAAGACAGATGTATACTAAATACAATACTTCTTCAATACTCACAGATTAGTCAGACTTGTGCAATAATCAAACGCTGTATCTGGGATGTAATCGATAACATTGCCAGACAAATCTAAGCTAGTTAACTGAGTCAGGTTGTAGAATGGATTCTCGTGAAGAAAGCGGAAATAATTATAGTCCAATGAACTGAATGAAAAAGACAGTTTAGAAATCAGTTATTGATATTGGTTTTCATATTGCGATGATACGAGACAACAAAAATAAGCAAATGAAATGAACTTGGTCATTTACAAAAACATCCTATGCAACTTAAACGATGATCGTTCAACTTACATTGTTCTGATGCTGCCAGGAAATGTGTTGTTCTCTATTGATATAATATCATTACTATCAAGATTCAATGTTTGCAGTTCTATAAGTCCAGTAAATGTTTCAGCTACTAGAAATGTCAATTTATTGTTCTGCAAATATCTAGAATAAATTATGATACAATTAAAAATTCATTGCAAAAGGCAAGTCAACCATTAAATCTAACTTGTGATATTTAGATAATAATGCAACATAAGTGATCCTTACATCTGGTAATGTCGGTGCGTTTTCAAAACCTGCGTTATTTGTTCAAAAATGTTAAACGTTCAATCCTAATCTTGTCAAGATAAGTTTTTTTTACCACTTTTTCACCTACCCATCAATACACCGGTGAGTTGGTTGTAAAATTTGGAAGCACAACGTACATGTTAAAATGAGCTTAAATAACTTGCGTCGCCAAAAGCCCGAATTTTTCAAAACCACATATAAATCAATAACTTAAACCGATTTTGCGAATGAAAGAATTATGGGGCCAATGTTCGCTATCATATTCAGCTTTAGTGCATTTGTTGTACGTACTTACAATTGGAGTTTTCTGTAGCATGAGCTGAAACAATACTGTAGTCAAATCATCAACTCAACAGTTATTGCCAACAGTAAGTCTTTGATTACTTACAGATTAGTAAGACTGGTAGAATAGTCGAAAGACAAATCTGGGAAATAACTAATTAGATTATATGACAAATCCAAAGTCCTCAATGTGCTATCACAGTCATCACTACAATTGTAGAGAGTATTTCCAAGGTAGCTGAAATGAATACAATTGACAATAATTAATGATCAGTGTCACTCACACGTTTGAACTAATTATTTGTAGGTCAAATGGAAACAACTTGCCCAAACATAGATCTTTGTATCTTGTACATTTCTACCTTGATGGGAATTTTTGTTTATGTAATGAATAGTTTTTACTAAACAACATTTTTTCGTAAGTTAAATTATTATTTTCAATAAGTCCAACTTCCTTAATAAGTCACTTGTATTGATATGATTTCCAAACAGACACTAATAGTGTTTGTAAGTTTTGTCCACGAGGACAACAAAATATGAAGATCTTTCAATACAGAATTTGAATAAAATCAAATAATTATAAATCACGTATGTTAAATTTAGGGTTAGTAAAAACAACATAGCCGTTATGCGACGTATACAACTTTCTAACAGACATACCTACAAATCAAAATATTACAGTATACAGGTGTAAGTTGGTAATATAACTGCTACCTCACATACAAAATTACGTAATACTCACTGTAAGTCGGGAAATGTGTTTATTTCTGTGAATGTAATTCCGTTACCAGCTAAATTCAGCACCTGCAGTGTTGCCAAATCGGTGAATGTCCCAGTCCTTAGAAAAGGGTAGCAAATTATAATGCAGATATCTAGAATAAAATAAAAATACGTAGTTCAAAACTTTATAATTGATTCAGTTGCTGTATCACCCCTCTCTGATTAAGAGGATGCTCTTTGGCATAGTGAAGATATATAGTGGCAATACATATCTTCTGATATTCATGATTTTAAAATTCATTCACATGTATATGATTTACGGTAGATGCCTCACGAGGAGCCGAATGTAAAAACTTGTTATGAAACACGTACTTGATTGTATGTAACTTGCTCTAACTGATTGAATTATCGGTTGCATTCTGCACGTCAAATTATGTTATTCAAATAGGGTAA